GCTAGGGCCCGGGCGACCTCCTGCAAGGGGGCACCTCCCACCTCGTGAGCTGACCGGCCAGAAACCACATCCCCACCGGCCCCTCCATCTTTCTGTCTCACTACCTGCCGGTGCTGCAGCATTTAAATAGATAGGGGCCTGGCTCGGAGGGCAGCTGTTAAACTCAGGTTTAACTGTCAGCTGCAGCCGTAACCCTCCTATGCTTAACAAAGTCGGTAAATGCTGTGTTTTTTGCTCTGAAGACCCCCAAACACCCAGCCTCAGCAGACCCCTCAGCAGGGATGTCCTGCACAGCATCGCATGGTGCTGTCCTAGACAGAGAACAAACCAAAACCGCTGACTTCGCATAAAAGGCTTTTTATGGGTTAAAAATGCAATTACTGTTGCACTCAGCTTAATAACCGACTTAATTCCCAGCTTCAGCTTAATATTCAACTTTGTTAAACTGGGGTTTAACGAGCCCTATGAACATGACTGTTACTTACCTGAGCGAGGACACCCGGCAGCTCTTTCTAACCCCACCTCCACTCTGTGCTCACACCCAGCACCAGAGCCTCCCCAGAATTTGTTTACACTGTCCCACAGATACCTGGCTTTTTGACACCTAAGTTATTATTAAAGTCCTACACTCTCTGTCAAGAGGGTGCCTTACTCCCTTTCAAGTTGTTTCAGTTACTGAGTTAGACATTCCTGGGACACTGCCACACAGAGGTAAGTCACATCCAGACCCCTAGGCCCACCCACAATCTCCATGTGAATAAACACCAGACATACATCTTTGTTAAAGAAACATCTAATCATTGCAGTATCCAAAATAAAAAAAAAAAAAAACCCTAAAGATTATATGATAGCACTTGGTTTGAGTCTAGGCCGTTCAATTTCAATTTCTTCACAAACCTAACACAGACCCATTTCTTCCCCAATTAGATCTGGAATGATTACAAGCTTCGGTGGAATCCAGCAGACTACGGCGGTGCTGAATTCATCCGAGTACCATCTGGCCAGATCTGGAAGCCAGATATTGTTTTATATAACAAGTAAGACTCTTGCACATTTATCTTAACTCAGGAGGAAGGGGGGTGATGTTACTTGTTTAAAAAACAAATCAGCAGCAGGTTCACAGAATTAATTGAAAAACTTGTTTTTCAACATACCTGTGTCCCACATCTGCCTGTTGCTGTACTCACCATCAGCATCACTGGGCAGAACCCAGCTCCTAACCTGGAGCTGCAAGTGGGCAGGCAAAAGTGGACCTTGCTTTTTCCCCTTCACAAGCCCCTACTTTCATTATTTTTATAACCGTCTACAAGGGAGGTGGCAAGAAATTCCCCTGGACTTAGGAGTTCTTGTCTGAAAGTCAGAGCTTTAACTGAAAAAAACCTACAAATCCTAGCTTTTTAGCAGTTAAACTCACTATTTGACACCTTTACAATAATAGTGCTGACATACCAAAGCCACAGGTGAAGTGTACTTTGGATGGCAGTTTCCGCAATGTGAGGAGCCACACTGTAACTAAATGGATCCCTCTGCTATGTAGGCAAACAGTTCTCGGTGAAATGGACTTAGCTACACAGATCCAAAACTTAGGTCTGTGGAACAACAGTGATGACGCTCCTTTTCTAACTGTGGCCATAAAACCTTAATTACCTTTTTTAGTTTTACTTTTTAATATAACCAACTGAAATTCTCACACGGACCTTATATGGTCCGTGTGATCTGAATAGCAATGTGGGCCTTAAAAAAACCCTCACTAAATACCCTCCTTATGCAAAGACACACCCAGCCCTAATCCCTCTTTCCATAGTTACTACCTGCACTGTCCACAGAAGAGGTGGGAATACCAGTACTGCAGGTATCCTCTTATCAGCCCTTGGGTTCGGATGTGCTTGATCTAGAATAGAATAGAATAAAATAGTTCAGTTGGAAGGGACCTACCATGATCATCTAGTCAGATGGCCATTTGCAATCTCCTATTTGCTGCTTTGAATATTGATTGCACTGAGCCATGTTAGTGTAAGGGAGAATATTTCCTTTCAAATCCTCCATGGTAAATTTATACATCTCTTTATTTCATTTTAACTATGCAAATTTATGACGGCCACTGACTCAGTCCTGCATGTGCAATTCAGCTGTGTCAACATATAATTGCTTACTTTCCCAAAACAGATTAATGTGTATGATCTGAATGTATGAAACTACCTGGAGGAGCCGCATTCTAATTTTTGTTATTTTTATTTGCTTCACAGTGCAGTTGGGGATTTCCAGGTGGATGACAAGACAAAGGCTCTATTAAAATACACGGGTGATGTGACCTGGATACCTCCGGCTATATTTAAAAGCTCATGTAAAATAGATGTAACCTATTTCCCATTTGACTATCAGAACTGCACCATGAAGTTTGGTTCCTGGTCTTACGATAAAGCCAAAATTGACTTAGTTTTAATTGGCTCTACAATGAACCTGAAAGATTACTGGGAGAGCGGAGAATGGGCTATTATTAAAGCTCCTGGGTATAAACATGACATCAAATACAACTGCTGTGAAGAGATATATACAGACATCACATATTCTCTTTACATTAGGCGTTTACCCTTATTTTACACTATCAATATGATTATTCCATGTCTGCTGATTTCTTTTCTGACTGTACTAGTTTTTTATTTGCCTTCAGACTGTGGTGAGAAGGTAACACTCTGTATATCAGTCCTTCTATCTTTAACAGTGTTCCTTCTTGTTATCACAGAAACTATACCTTCTACCTCCCTGGTAATTCCACTTATTGGGGAATACCTCCTTTTCACCATGATCTTTGTAACTCTATCTATTGTCATCACAGTATTTGTACTTAACGTGCACTACAGAACACCCAAGACACACACAATGCCTGTGTGGGTGAGAACCATTTTCCTGAACTTACTTCCCAGGATCATGTTTATGACAAGGCCTGCCAGTGATGAAGAGAATAATCAGAAGCCAAAACCACTTTTAACTTCTGAGTTTTCAAACTTAAATTGCTTCAACAGTTCTGAAACCAAATGCTGCAAAGATGGCTTTGGATGTCAACATATGGCATGCAGCTGTTGTCAGTATCAACGAACGAAGTTCTCTGATTTCAGTGGCAATCTCACAAGAAGTTCAAGCTCTGAGTCTGTAGATCCTCTGCTTTCATCTTCAGTTCTGTCACCACAAATGAGAGATGCTATTGAAAGTGTTAAATACATTGCAGAAAATATGAAAATGCAGAACGAAGCAAAAGAGGTAAGAACATATTTTACTATTTCTCAAACTGCAGATTCTATTTGCCATTAGTGTGGTTTGTAAGAAAAAGAGATCTCAGAAAAAAAAATAAATCCCCAACCCCTTCACCCCCCAAAAGGACAGCACAAACCATTATTTTATACAAGTAAATGACCCAAGCTGTATTACAAATATGTGCAATTTTGAATTTAAATAATTTCGGGGAGCAGCTCTGTTGCGCAACAATGTCTTTATTGACAACACATATACTTAGTGAAGCATGTTAAGGTAACCACTGCTAGGGAAACATACTTGAGCATCCGTCCTACAAGATTCAGAGGGAGGATTTTTCAAGTTATAAACTTAAGAGTGCAATTTGCTGACTCTAAGGCCTTTAGAAAGTTACATTCTCCCTCCCACAGCTTACCGTCGATAACAAAGAACATAAGAATGAATGTTCTTCAGTGATGATGTGGCATATTCTGCTGCTGCACAGTAAAGTGCTGTAGCTAAATCAGATAACTGCTGCAAGATGGGGCCCGTCATCTTTCATAAAACTGCATCTTGATGTAACAAAAAAAAATTCAAGGTTTTCTTTTCATCATGTTCCTCAAACATACAAAGAACAGTAGCCACACCATCACAATTGTCATTGAATTTAAATCCTCTGAAGTATGGCACTTAACATTAGAATGAAGCTATTTTATTTCTGCTGAAATCAGAACTTCAATTTGTTGCTACAGAAAATATGGGGTTGTTTTGGTTTTTTTAAGTCTGCCTTAACAAACAAGTTCTAAGCTAAAAAGCACAAAATTTCAATAACAACAAATGTACTATTAATTTATTAGCCTTCCTGAAGAAAAATGAAGTAAAAATTCAAATTGTAATCTCAAGAGTAATTAAAATGATAACCTAATGTAGTTACCATTAACATATAATAATATATGATACTTCAGTATCACTCTTGTTATAATGCCAACTGTAAAAAACAGTAGAAAAGCCTGTTTTTTGGAACCTTGTTTCCCTTTCTACAGGGAAGGTAAGCTGATGAACTTTACATCGTGCATGAGAACAATCAAATTTCAGTATTACATAAGAAATATAACAAATAATTATATACCAATTAACTTTTGTCCTTTTACATGCTGCCTAAAGACCAGTAGGAACAGTCTGTTTCAGTAAAGTTTTCTGGACAAACCTCATCACCTAAGAATGTAAAGCTTTCCACTTTGCTTTTTGGCATATAGAAGACAAGTTGTATCTCGTGAAGTCCAATGTCTTGGTGAACAACTTTCTGTATTTGAGGAAGTAGCTTTTGGCTTTGCCACAAATAGCATATTCAAATGAAGCTTCTTCGAGATGAATTAATTTGTCAATGAAAACAGAGATATGTAAGTTGTGCATATATGAAAGACATCTACATACAGAAAAACAACCTGTGCTTCCTATATGAAATAGTACTAATTGCTAATGCAAATTATTCATCTAATAAACATGCCTACTTGCTCTTCAATTTATTTTTCAGATTCAGGATGACTGGAAATACGTTGCCATGGTAATTGATCGTATTTTTCTATGGGTTTTCATCCTGGTATGTATTCTAGGAACAGCAGGATTGTTTTTACAACCTTTGATGGCTGGAGATGAAATGTAAAGATTAAATAGTATGTTGTGAAATCAAATAAAACTTTTGCCAACCAACTCTGCACCCCCACCCCAGCACCTGATGTCTCTTATATGTGTAGTAGAATAAGGACCTCTCTTGGCCTTGACTTTGCTTGACCAAGAGAGTTTTGTTAAAAATGTGAAAACAGAAAATTTTTGAACCTTTATGACAGCTAATCTCAAAGTAATATGAATGAGCTATGCTTGCCAGCTACTTTTTGGAATTACTGGAAAAGATGTAGGTAGTACTACAGGAATGGTTTAAGAAAGGGTTGATAAAGAAACTGAAAATCACATGAATATTCAGAAAGTCAAGAGAGGTTGACTACTTCGGGCTACTAAATTTGTTTCCACAAGTCTGGTGTCACATCTCTTCAGACCATGACAGGATCTTCTGGGAGTAAGTTCACAGTGAGTTCAATGAATGCCCTCATGATAAGCAAATGTTTTAGGAAGTACACATTGCAAATCGCTAGAATGCAGACATTGCCACCTGGTGTATAAACTGACTCAAATAGTGGGAGGAAAGGACCATGAGCAGGCTTACTACAAAAGGAAAACAAATAGGTAAATAATAGATGATGGTAATAAAGCAGCCATAATGTAAACTGTGCATCCCCATTATTTCAATGTATGAGAAGACTGTCAGAAAAAGCAAGTTATTCAGACCTAATAACGTTTAAAAATGTTTAAAACAAGTAAAACAAACAGATGCACTCTGCAGGTTATGCAAAGGATCAAAATACTCTGATAGGATTGTTTGGATACAGAAGCATCCTGCAATAGCAGAGTTTTATGATAGTCCTGTAAAGTATGTGAAAATTGCTTCTTAGGCATACTTTTTTTTTTTTTTTTTTAAATCAGTAAAGGCAGATAATTTACGAGCATGAATAAAGAATGCAACAAAATACTGTAACGAGAAAATATTTTGTAAACATATAAACTGTAGTAAACTGGAAACTTTTTGGAAAGTCAGTGTACCAAGTGATGTAACATTTATGAAAATAAAGAGAATCAAGCTGTTGAAAATTGTGTTTTTTCTCATTTATTTTGACTGAGAGACAAAAGCCTACATAAGGTAGCATTAGCTACAGTTCAACACATTCAGAAACAAGTTACATAAGTAAAGGCCCATGCTTCTGAGTCTATCAACATGATTTTATGTCAGACACACCTCATGATAAGCTGAAGACTCCAAGGATTCTAATGTCGGCTATCTTACCTGCATTTATCATGATCAGATTGTACAAGTGACTAAAAGAAATTCATGCATGCAAAAATTCTGAGTTACTGGTATAAAGGCTGGGACCCCTTTGGCCAATATGCTGCCAATCACCTGATGATATAATTGGGCAGTCTACAGACATTTAACAACAGGAAAGAGATGAGGTGAGGAGTTAAAAAAATAGTATATAGCTAACCTATAGTTTTACTTACTTTGCTTTCTCTTCAGGTAAGAGTAAACTTCAGTAAATCAAACCCAAGGAAGACTATAACGAGAAATTTTGCATTTGAAGAGGAAATAAGATCTCTAAAATATTTCTGCAGCTTCCACACAGAGAAACTCACTGACCCATTGTTTAATCTTAGTAATACTGAGAAAGTTAAAATTATGATACTAACGGATTAAATCAGATAATCTTTGCAAATTTACCTTTAAAATTAATTATTATGGGAATAGAGAAAATAGATATCCAATGCCAGATGTATTTTTATAACTGAAGAGGAAGAGTGACTCCCTTTAAGATCAGAATTATTTATAAGTTGATATTTTAAAAACAAAAGGCTTGCCTGGCATCATTTCCCTGCCTGTGAGCCTTAAAAGGCTACCCAAACCCAAGAATGTCCTACAGGTCAAAATAATTTCAAATAAATATTCAATTTTCTATAAGTTATGACATAAGCAATCAGTATTATAATCAGTACAATGCCAAACAGGGCTATTCTGAAGGAGATGGAGGTGAAAGGATGTATCCCTTTTCCAAATTCATAACCACCATAAAAACTTACATTATCAAAGATAACACAATTTGCATTAAACTTTTCACCTAAACATGTTGTTATTATTAATGTAATAATTTAAACAAATAAAAACTTCCCAAGACTTACTCTAGCTGGGCATTACTGTATTAGCCCAGCAGGATGCAACTGCGTTATGAAGTACACTGACAAAACCTTGGTGTAGGACTGTCTATTTTAGAGTTTCTTCCAGAAATAAAGCTTTTAAGAAAGGTGGCATTGGAATTAATGTAAAGAATTTTAAAACAGTATTTAAAGAATACATTTTAACGGAATAATTAAAACGTTGCAAGTTAAGTTTTCAACACTCTCAGAAAAAAGGAAGTATGGAAAGCAGTAAGCCCTGGCTGCTTAGAGTTACATACGGCTCTGTAAGTGAGAGAACCTATTAAAGGTAGATTTGTAAGTTTGGTTTAACTAAAGCGTAAAAATTTAATCATCTGTACTTGGTTACATACCATAATAATTTTCAACCCATTTTCTTCAGAAAGGCATTCCCCAAATTCCTTCTACCTGTGCTTAAAAACTTAATTCTGAGAAACAAACAAAGGCAGGAAATTATGAACAAGTTTGCAACTAACATACTGTATCAAATTCTTTGTCAAAAATAAAGAAATCTGAATATTCCCATCTATTAGAATATTTGTGCAACTTGGGCAACTCACTTAATTGCCTTTGCCTTCCTTTCCATAGCTGATACAGAGTTATCAATGATATACATGTATCCCTCAGGCATTTTAAGGCTTACTGTATTAAATATTCATGTCAGTATGATAGAATTAACAAGGTGTTAAAGTCAGCAGCAAATTCCACTGAAAATTTATAAAGGCAAAACATAGTCAAATCACTATTTTTACTTATATGCTGAATATATGGGAAGTTTAACTGGTAATTTTATTATTATTTTAAATTTACTCTACAGAAAATTTATACTTTTGTAACACACTTAAGATAGTTCATAAAAATTCGCCCTTGCACACTATAGCAAATTGAAATAAGCAACTCTACTAAATATCTGCAAATATTTTATACTTAATATAGCAATTCATATAGTAATTTAATAATTGGACTACAGTGTGATCATCACCAAATAACTTTAAATCCTCCTATTTCGCAGTAAGTGTCAGTCTATGCTTTTCTGGCATATCATACACGCAGGTGCTTGAGAAGGTCCTTTCAAATCTGACCTGATTTAAAAGTAACTTAGTAGACTCGCAATAAGCAACTTGATTTCTATGTGTCCTAGGGATGCCATGCTTTAATACAAACATAATTTTCTGGTTTTGGATTTTTTTTCACTCTATCAGAAACATGCCTATAAAGAACATCCATGGAAACAGAGCTACTGCAAAACTTTTTAGAGAAGTATTAGCAAGAGACAGATCCAAAAATGTTTTATGCATGTGTACTGCCTATATGTGTAGGTACTATTATACTTGCCCATTTATGAATAACAGGAATAAACAATGCAAGTGATCCAATTATTGAAACCAGAAGAAAAGTCCATAAGAACATTCGATCAAGCACCTGAGCAATAAATTTCCAGTCTTCAACAACCTAAAAAACAAAGAACATACAAGATCTGAAAGCTGTGAAGTTACTGCTGCAGACTTATACAGCAGGGAGAATACTCACAGTATTTCAAGCCTGTTTTCCTTTCTGATAGGATTATTTGTATCTGTACACAATTTTGCAAGTATAGCAGACGTAATTGTGCAAGCAAATTAAAATCCTGCCAACCAATTGTCTTTTATTTGAACTGGAGCCAACCACATTTCCCAAGCCTACTGCTTCCTAAGAGGAAAGGCTACAACAGCACTAGCTGTGTTGTTTTTATTAACAACTTTTTGCAATTAAAGCTTGTATTCTCTGGAGCCCAAATAATAAAACACAAGCTAATTCCCTGCCAGCTGTATTTTAATTTCTGAGGTTGAGAATCACAACACTACACCTGAAAAACAAAAACACTTAGCACCTCTCTTGTCACTCACACTCAGATAGAGTAAGTTCAGTAAGAGAAAGAAAACCAGCTCTTAATTTACAGGAAATTATGTATTTAATAGCAAACTATCCTATTTGTGCTGTTTCTACATTGCAGGGGTATTAGATGCCATTTTAACAGTACATTAGATACATTTATTCAAAATCTAGGCTGGATCCCTTGTGATAATGTCAGAGTCGAGTCCAGAGAAGATACATTAGTGCAGTTAGCTTACACCTAGGCTAGCATGTGAGAACATGCTCTCAGCAACCAGTGACTTTTGAAGTCAGTAATTTCTATGTAAACAGAATCTCAGGCCTTGCCGTGAGAAACAGATAGCAGTATCATAAGGCCACACAACAAACTTCTATATTTCTACACTAGCCTGAAAGTGGCATTTAAGTCTCTGATGTTCTAGTAGCGCTAGTTTAAAAAGAATGGAAAGAAAATAGATTCATCATGCTCTTACCCAAATGGTGTAAATATCCATTAAGGATAGTTCAGAATGCAAATGTACAGACTGAAAAAGAAAGCCTTTGACATCTTTTGATATAATTTAGAGACAAATAATAATAAGGCTAGAAGAGAACACTCAAGAAGTCACCTAGTCCATGTTTGATCTCAGCACAAAATGACCAACATATGGCTATAGCTTGTATTTAAACTAATATAAGTTAGGGCATTAAAAATTGTTTTTATTTGTAATTGAAAGCTGCAAAATAAGGCTTAGCATTATTTATTCCAGACGTGTAAGGCAAATGCATTTTCCAGATAGCATTCAGGCACAACATTAAAATAAAAAATACCTACTTCTTTCATCCTGAAAATAACATACAGCTGCGCTGTAGAGAACAGTTATGGTACATGCTCTTGTAACAGAGAAGCATCTCTGAAAACGTGTAATTAACAACATGAACTTACTTCTAGAAGACAGCAAAAGATTTTTAAAAACCCAAGGATGGTATTATATCAGCCCAGTATCTATAAGAATACTCAGTATTGTACCATGCCTATACCTCTTTCCAGTGGAAACAATTACATAGCTTCCATTGAAGTACAAAAACTGAAAATCCCACAGCACATATTTAACATGCAACTGCATAGTAAACCATTACTCAGTTTTCTAATTTCCAGTTTTACAAAATCAGTGTAATATGATTAATACACCCACCTCACGCACTTCATTCTCCTTCGTAACATGCCTTGTAATGTATCGGATAGAATCTAGAGCTGCTTCCAAGGTGTTCCTAGATGATTCTGATCCATTTATATTTCCTGTTTCCTCCTTCTGAGCAAAGTATCTATCTACATGACTTCTCATGCAAAGCAGCTTGGGAAGTTTGTGAAGAAATATCTTGCGAACCCATGGTGCCATAGCATTGTGTGTAGATGAAGAGCGATGATGAATATTGATAGCAAACACAGTTATCACAATGGACAATGTCACAAATATCATAGTAAACACCAAGTACTCTCCTATAAGTGGGATAACTTTAGAAGATGATGGAATAATCTCTTCAATAACAAGAAGAAAAACAGTCAAAGATACCAGTACGGAAGTGCAAAGTGAAATTTTTTCACCTTCATTTGAAGGAAGATAGAAGACAAGGACAGTTAGAAACGAAAGCCCAATACAAGGAATAATGAGAAACAATGTGTAAAAAAGTGGCAAGCGCCTAATTATAAATGAATATGTAACAAAAGGATACCAGCAGCATCCATCAGTCCTATTTCCTTTGCTCCCTGTTGCAGTCACTATTTCCCACTCTCCATTATCAAAAAAGTCTCTTTTGTCTACATCATAATCTTCAAGAATTATATCAACCTGTGAGCCATCATAAGTCCAGGAACCAAATTTCATGGAGCAATTTTGGAGGTCAAAGGGGAAGAAGGTCACATCAATAGTACAAGAACTTTTGTAGTTTGCTGGTGGAGTCCAAGCAATGGTGCCATCATATTTTACCACAGTTTTTGTAGATGTTCCCTCAAAACGTCCATCTGCACTGAAAGAGATATACGCAGGCAATTACAGTGGGGGCTGTGTGGGGTGTGGGTGTGTGTTTTTAAATAATAAAATATGTTTTGTTATTGTCATTTCAGTTGTTTATTCCTTCTCCCCCTTCATAGGCAACATTTGTACTGTGTTCACAGTCAACCTTTCTTTTTTTCTTATCTGAATCTCACGGGTAAACAGCTTTGGAGGACTGCAGAGTATTTTCAAATCCTGAAAAGATCTGTGCAACTTTCTGTGGACCAAATGACTTATGCAAGGGATTGTAAAAATCCTGACCTTTATCAGCATGAACAAACTGTGGTGTTTCTCTTGGTAATACAGCATAAATACTTTTCCATTTCAATTTGGCCAAGTCACAATTATTGAAGAAAAAAGTAATGAAACCGGTAAAATAATACATGTGTGTCACCTCCAAACTTGAATTTACAATTGCTGCAACAACCTTTTTTCCTGACTCAAGCCAGGAAATGTTAAAGCGCTGTATATGCACCTGACTTGAGCAGAACGGTTAATTCAAAAGTTATTGCTTCTGAGATCCATTAATTCTCAAAAAAAAAAAAAATCCCCTAGAGTTGAGTGTACTTCATTTTAAATCCATGATGAATATGACTTAAACAGCATTAATTAGTTGCTTTCCTCCCTCCCCTCTACACTATTAGTTTGCACCCAGCACCATGTAAGACAATTGTTTTCTAATTAAAAAAAAAAATTTAAAAAGAGCTTACAGGAAGAAGTGGAAATAAACTTTTCAATGAGACTAGAAATTCCAGATAGAAGTAAAGCAAAACATTTAAGCATTTACCATGCAACAAAATCCATTTGTATTCAGAGGCAATTCTTCTACACATTCTTAGCTCTGCTAAATGCACACGCACAATCAATTTATCCCATGAGCCTCCTAGAAGCAGCTTGGACAGTAAAAAGTAAACGTATTTTATATGAAAAGATTAAAATCTTACTTGTCATACAACACGATATCTGGGATCCAAATGGAATCTGATGGGACACGAATAGATGTTATTCCAGCATAGTCTTCAGGATTCCACCTTAATTTTACATCTATCCATTCCTGTGGATATGTGAGATGTAAAAATCACCATTATTGTGGAGTTGATCTAAGCAGGGCAAGACTAGACGAAAATTGACAAAAAGGCAATTTAAAAAAAAAATCAAACTGGCTTATAAAATTTGCATTCAGCAGTGAATTTGCTGAACAGACATCTATTTACCTCATCCAATATTTGTTTTCTGTTGTAAGAGCCACTTGATAGTATTTCTGTACAAAACTTAATATCTTAAAATCCTTTTTTCAGAGCATGTATAAATAAGTCAGAGCTATTAGAACGTATAGGCAAATAAATTTGAAAAAAAGCTTGTTCTGAATGAACATCAATGATTTTGGAAGCTGATCAGAAGCAATTCAAACATTTTCATCACAAAGAAAAAAAAAAATCATGCCGCAATTCTCAAGATAGTTGTTCGTATTTCTACCAGAAACACTAAAAATAGCACTATTAAAAGCACAGTAGTACTTTGGTAATTTTATACTTGAACTAAGAGCTCAAGAGGAAAAAATGCAAGTCTCTAAGAATTCACCATCACACAGAACTTTAAATGCATGTTCAGGTCAGTTCTTATTTTATTTGGACAGCTTCCACTGCAACAAGTTCTGCAGATGCTAGTAAGAGGGCACAAAGTGTCATCATCGACTTATTGCCATCTCATACTTGCTGAGTAATCTCCAAGTTTTCCTGAAAAGAAAAACTTTGCTTGAAATTACAGTCACTGGAGCAGAAGGGATGGGGAACAACAGCAAAAAAAAAGGAAGTAGCCCAAACAAAAATAATTTAGTAAGCCAGTAAGTATAACCAGGGTCTGCAAACATTCTTCAAAGTTAAATCAAAAATTATTTATGAGCAGCATTGCCCAAATTAATAATGGTCGGTAAGTTCAGCATTGGACTCTATTATAAAGCTTGAGGCTTTTTCCTGCCCATAAACAAATATTCTTAAGAGGAAAAAGCAGCTCTTTATAGCAAGCCTATACAACTTTGAGACTGAAATTCTTCAGCAATGTTTATCTGATCATCTCAAAAACCACACAAGAGAAAGATCTTAAAACTATGACACAAAAGACTACACAAACCCATACGTTCCTAATATAGGATTTGAAGGAAAATTTATGTGCTGAAGCAGTAATTTCTGATGGTTGGATACACTCCACTCCACACCTAGGTAATTCTTTTTAATTTACTTTTTTTTTTTTTTTTAAGAAAGAGTTTAATAACAATTAATCCTTTAACGCATTTCCAGGGAAATTTTTTATAGATACTATGTTAAATTAAAATTCATGCAACAACTTCAGGTTTTTTGAATATACAATTAATTAGAAAATGTTTTTCCCAATGTTTGACTTGCAGTTATAAAGCTTCAGAATTTTTCATCTGCATTTTACACATACCTGTTTCAACCAGACGTTTGTTGTCATCAATTGATTTTTCTCATCCTATGAAAATAAAGCATATTTTATGAAAAAAAAACCAAAAAACTACACAGTACTTTCATAGTTACTAACTGCCTTATTTCACAGAGGTCTGTAATTTAAAATAAAAAACACACTTCTAAAAGCATTCCAGTCACTGAAATACATGTTTATATGGGAAGTGTTTAAACATTCAGTTATGACCTTTGATTATTTAACTGATAAAATTTATATTTTTCCCCTTCTGTGTCTCTTTCCTCCCTTCCATTTTTTTATTTGATGGCATTTTATGCAGGCTTACTGCTTTTCTACAGAAACATAAAGGAACAGACAACATATGGAAGAAAAACTCCTCTTAGAACAATAACCAGTGAATTAAATTTAAAAAGAATATTCTGAAGTGAATAATTACCAGGGGAAAAAAATAATCTGGTTGATCTCTTTTATATCACAGGTAATGCCAAGAGATAATCACCCTTACTATTAAAGTGTCATATTTGGAGGCTTAGAGGGTTTTTTGCTGCTTAGGGGGGAAAAAAAGCAATATTTGAAAGTGTTCCTGAATTTTACAAAAATTAGATGGATAAAGTTTAAAAATATGTTGCTGTCCCACTGAATAAATAAATTAAAACACAGCTCCTTAGTCTTAGGGATTTGACTTTTTTTTTTCTGAAAACCCCACTAAACATAAGAGTAATTTGTCTTCTCAGCCTTTTTGCAATCACTTCTTCATCCACATCTACTATGCATTTTTTATTATGCTGTAATTCTGGAGGTTTAATCTATTGTGTTTAAGCTAAAATATGCACTATTATTTCATATGACATTATGTTACAGAATTTTAAGAATTAGGGAAAAATTAGCAAAACTTTATTTACCATACATACCACATCTACTAGCTGAGAGATTGCAAGACCAAACTTTATTTTTATTGTGTCATTCAAGTGTTCCACTGGACGAACCCATCTTTGATAGTCTTCAAACAAATGTTTAAACAAACGATCTTCACTTTTAGCAACAAAAGAAGGCTCAGATATACCTATATGAAGACAGTAATTTATTAACATCGATTTAAATGAACAGTGTACATCACAGTCCTGTGTCCAACGCTCTACAGCTATGTTTATGCAGAGTTAAATTTCTCATGTTATCTGCTTTTCTCTGGAAGCCTGGCCAAGGTCTTGGAAGAAGAATAAAACTACCCCATTTTATGAGCATCTTCATACCACTATTACACTTTTAAAATCTGTGAATCAAGAACATTAAGGTAATTCTAGTAATAATAAGGGCAAAATGCACCTATTCACCCGGTGTGATGCACTTATGGAAACCCTCTAAACAGACAGCTTATCTATGAGGGACTGAAGTTCTATTGTTCTAGAACAAGGTGGTACTTTTTAAAAACCTACATCCACACTACACAGGTCTTTAGTATATTGCACAACTTGAGCTCCAGTTTGAAACATCAGTCTCGTCATGTTTTATGTATTACTTCTTTCAATGTTTGGTCACATCTATGTTGAGTAAACTTTGCAGTACGCATAGAGCCCTTTCTCCCCACACTGTTTTGTATTTTAAACACATGTGTCAATCTATTTACCAGTCTATCCCCTACCTAGTCTAATGTTATATGGACTGGAAGGCACCTTTCCAGTTAAGTAATTGTATACACTCAGTTACTACTTTTTCATCATTCTTAAGGAGTCATTTCAATGTTTGGAGATTGACTGATGACCTGGAACAGCCAAAAATCTTTGTATAGCTTACGAAGAAGTAGAAACTAAATGTCTTCTTTAATCTGCTTTGGGAAAAAAAGTACTGTAGATGCAGAAACCGCAGGCAGAGAGCAGCCCAGACTCTAAAAGAGAAATGCAAGTTGTCCTGAAGTATGTCATCAAGCAACTGCTGTTCTTTATCTTTGTGAATCCACAAAAAATTGGTTTTTTACTAATGTGGACTCACTGAAGTGTATCAGTAGAAACCCTGCTACCCAAAAAAGGCAAAGTTTAATGTTTCTCCATTATGAGAACCCATGCAAAAAATTGTACACCCTAAATAACAGGAGAAGGACAAACTTGGGGAAGAGATGGAGAGAGGGGAGGAACAAAGGAAGGTCAGTGTCTAGGTAAGAAAGAACAGCTTTCAAAGGCACTGTGAAAGACGTGAAGAAGGCCACTTCCTCAAGAAGCAGCACCAGCTATACACACCACCTTGAAGGGAATGGCTCCAAAATGGTCTCCAATTCCCAGACAGAAGTCAGAGCAACCCCCAGAAGACGTGAACATACGCACTAGACAAAGATTTTTACTACTCACCGATGAGATTTAAACTAATGGAAACTACTGCCCAAAAAAGACATAACAATTATTATAGTCAGTTTAAGGGACAGAGAAAACCAAAGAAAGATGTTCACAACCATCTCTTTTCAATGTAGATTTAAAATGTTATACCATTACATAAATGTATGGTGTGACCTCCCTAGAAATGATGTGCTCACTAACAGCATCCATCTAAAAAAAAAAGATGTATCAGAAACAGAAAAGCAAAAGAGAATGACATTAACAGATTAAAACAAAAGACAGTCATCCACAGGAGAGATTTAAAAGATTAACATTATTCTGTTTGGAAAGGAGGTGAAGTTAGTGAACATAACAGAAGTAGATAAAGTAGTGAATGACGCATGCAGAAAAAACACTGATGGTATTTAACCTTTCTCATAACTGAAGACAAAAGAAAAAAAAGCATCAATTAAAGGCAGTATAAACAATGAAGTTCACTACCATAAACATCCGATGAATGAGAGGTTATTTGACACAGAAGAGAACTAACATTTTACAATTGCCTGGGATTACTAAATTGTCAGTTATGTCAGGTAGCATCATACTTGCATAGGGTATGAGTTCTCATTTCAGCACAACTTGCAAAAACTACCTCAGAATTTGAACAGCTTGATGGCTTGCATTTGTTGCAGAGACTTGGCTACCACCATTTAAGCCATTAATTTAGACAGTCCTAAGCTAGTTCTACATGACTGCAGCCACTGCAGCCTAGACAACTGGGACAGGCAACGTAAGTTTCTACGTTCCCTCCTATCCATCAAGGTGCTCTTGTGACAGAAGCAGCTTTTTGCTGTGCTGCAAAAGGCTGCATTTACAGATCCTTCAAACACCCAAACGAAGCACTGCAGAGGCCATCCACAAGAGAATTCGCTGCCTTCTGCACCGCAGGTTTGGGGCAGTCCAGCAGAACTATTATTATGAATAGTAACTGGATTTTCTCTGAAATTTAATAGTAGGAGCAAAAGCAGAAAGCAGCTCAAGGAACAGGATCAGCAAAGTCAGAGAAGCAGGACTCCTTTCCCTCCAGATTTTACCAAACACAAACATGCTGCTGCACGGTTCTTGGTGCAGGCCAAATCAGCATTATGGTTTTAAGACAGTTCACCTTTCTGTTTCAAAATACAGTGTACTTCCTTCATTTGCAAATACCTAGCAACCTATTGTTCTTCGAGACGTATGATTTGCACATTCTCTACAATTTAACATCTTGAAATGGAAAGATTGTTGACATGTGGCTGGTGTAATAGCAAAGAACTGATGGGCAACTTGCACTGTACCACTGAGCGTACTTCAGGTGGATTTGTGAAAACACACAGGATTGTAAGAATTTCTGCCGAAAAGGATCCAGCAACAGAATGCTACACACACACCAGTTACCTTCACAGCTACTAGGTTAAAATATATTTTGACTGATACATGAAGTTCAGTGTATCCTTATTAGCCAAGGAATTTTTCTTATTTGTAACTATACATAGATTTGCCAAGTCCTGCTGTACACAGACATCCAAAAGAATGCATCCCGAAGACACAACTTAATTTCTCTATTTTTATATCCCTATTTCCTGCATTATTAATGGTTTTGTGTATATTTCAGCCTACTGTTTTATAAATACTTGATTTTTGTATTAGAATTAACTACACTTCCCTTTTACAGTTGCAACTCCCATCTGAATATTTTGTACAATTTGAGAATGACTATGCAGCTGGCTACTCTCTCTCCATTAACTGACCTTGAAGCAATGCAGACACAAAGTTGCACTTTCACCATTTCTGTGTTCCTGTAAGATGACCTCCTGTACAGCAACACAGCATCTTCAAGGTACATGCTGTTTCCAGATTAAGCTTCTCTTAAAACACAGTATCTTCTCTGCTATGCTAAATGGGGACATGTTCCTTTACCACTTTTATATACTTGCAGATTTTTTTTCAAACATTTCCTATTCAGCCTACAGTATACTCACTGATTTATTACGACAGTCATATTTACTAACAATATAGTTTGACTTTTTTTTTTCTCTATCATAGAAATAACCACAGTTTTTCATATCTCCAGTTTATTCTGTTTATTAATAAGTTGGGGCATACTGGTCTATAAAAGGCAGCTTATACAAAGGAGAACTCCATATGGAGGCTGGAGATGGTAACAAAAACGAAATAAATAACCACCCCTACCTTTCCATATTTTATTTAATAGGGCCATGCAGCTCACTTTTTACACAGACTGCATGTGTTTAATTTATCTTTTCTGTGTGTCTGTATGCTTTTAAGATTATAAGAAAGGGAGTGATTCTGTTTACACCAATTAAAAAATGCAAAGAACTTGTGACAAGCACAAAAAGGTACAGAAGATTGGAAAAGAGTAAAATACAGTTAGTGGCTTAGGGCAGCAGACTAGCTATGCTAGTTGGAGAAAAGCAGGAAGAGGTTAAAACCTACAACTAGCAAGATTAGCAAACAAACAGCGGAGTACAAGTCTCACACTAAATCAGATGGTAAGAGATTACAGAAGCACTCACCCCTGCTACTAGTTCATTGTACTAAAAAAACAGATGATTTGTAGCCTTTGAAGAGCAATTCTAAGCATGCCTATATTTGTGTGGCTTTATTTTTCTTGAGGTCAGGCAACTTCTGCAGTCTAAGTCAAAGGTAGGCTCTCTATATGGTTCAGTGACAAATCCCAAAGACAAGGTTTACTTTCTAATTTACACCTGGAACTTTTCCACTCACTCCATTTCAGTGTGATTCCTAGGTTCAGCGAAAAAAAAAATGTCACCTAAATCACATGAGAAAACACTGGATGGCCAAATGTGAATTCTGCAAAAAGGAGACAAGCATTGATGCACAAAGCAGACTAATGATTCCATTTTTTTTTTAAACTCTGAAGTAGTTGGAGCACACTTTTGACAAAATGGTAAGTAGAAATTCTAATTAAACACTTGACCTCAGACAGAATTGAATTTAAAAATTCAGTCCTAAACATTTAAAAAACTTATTTTATGAAAGTACTTTAGAAGAGCTATTTAGAAAAGAAGAGGAAGCATAACATGGGTCTCAGATTCATCAACAGCATGACGAAACATGTACATGTCTATTCAATTTTGTTAACATACTCAAGTCAAAATTTCACTAGTGCTGCTAATGGCAGACTTTTTAAATGCTTCAGATAAATTACAAAAATGTTATTCTTTTGTAAAATCTTTTTATATTGTTTCTTACTGTACCATTATGGGATGAAATTTCTTAGCATCTTAATATGATTTAGCAGCAGTATTATTTTGATAATAATTACCAGTGAAACATTTAGTGTTACAGCTACACCTCATAGCTTTTCACAAATTTTTGTTTGTTTGTTTTCAAATGAGAGAACACCACAGTTCATGTTTCTCCAAAGAATAACTTTAACTCTCTATTCCTCTGCACTTCCTTAGATAAAGTGTCTAAGAACCACGCTGGGATTGCAGGCATAACACTGGTCCGTACTCTTTAAGCAATGTAGTGCAAAGCATATCCTAGTTGATATAGTTGAGTGTTAACAATTTCAGGTTTTCTCTGTATCGCGACTTGGTACATTTTCAGAAGAGTCACATGGGAGAAGGGAAAGGGTTACTTTTTAAAAGCCTAACATTAAGATGCAGATTCAGAAGTAATATATATATTATTAATGGAGATTTATAATCATATACTACAATAATAA